GCAGATTTTGCGTCGGATTCAGTGCCGTTGCAACGCGCGTCCCTTCATGCTTGAACCGCTCGTGGCGCTTTACTGCTACTGCTACTGCTACTGCTACTGCTACTGCTGCTGGTACAACTGCAGCTCCCTACCTACTGTGCCTACTGTGCCTACTGTGCCTACTGCTGCTGCTACTGCTACTGCTACTACTGCTACTACTGCTACTACTGCTACTACCGCCACTACTCCTACTGCTGCTGCTGCTGCTGCTGCTACAACTGCTGCTTCTACTACTACTGCTACTGCAACTGCTACTACTGCTACAACTGCCACTACTGCTACTACTCCTACTGCTGCTGCTACTAAAGCTACGACTGCCACGACGACAACGACTTCTACATACTGCTACATACTACAACTACCACTACTGCCGCTGCTTCTGTCGGTGCTGCTAGTGTTGATCATCAGAACGATGTGATGCGGACTAATCCCCGACAGAAACAAGCCCAATACAGCACGCGATCGTTTACATTGCACGAACATTCTGGATCCAAAACGACATTGACATCAACTGTACGCAAAAACACTGGCGACAAATACACAGCCAACACACAGTGCAAGACAGAGACCAAGACAGCAACGACAACTACAAACAGAGCAAGACAGAGACCAAGACAGCAGCGACAACTACAACAGCAAAAAGGCTGACAGCTCGTCACCAGGGCTTGTGGTTGTGTGGCTTACACCATGCCCTATGACTTGTTTCGGATTGTATCGCTTCTGCCATGCTGCAAAGTTCTGATGTGGCCGCTGTGGCCCAAGCTGCTGCTTGACTCCAGCTCAGGCTCATATGTCTGGTTGTAGTCCGGCTGGGCGGCCAAGAAAATCCCCAAACAGTCCTTGAGGTCACAAGGTGGCACGGTTTACCTTCCACCTTCCTTCCGTTGAACAAACACAGTGGGCCAGTGGGGCCGTGACGTCGCGGTGAGCGGCACCAAAGAGATTCATCAGCTCTACTGACCACTCCTTCCAACCCACTCACGGAATTGCGACTCCTGTTGGAAATGTGGGATCGCCTTACCAGAATCTTGCTTTGCATCTGGTACCATGGTTGCCTCAGCAGCCAAGCCAACCTTGAGCTAAGTCGCTTCCTCGGAGACGTTGCCGCTTTCGAAAGTTTCATGGCCAGGGTCACTCTCATTGAGCTCGTTCCTGCAGCTTTATAAGAAAAAATCACAACAAACCATCGGGAGCACAGCTTGAGGCACTGCATCCAGATCTTTTGCGACATGAACGCCTGTAGACATACAAGCGGCAATATGCCTCCGGCCATGATCTGCAAATAGAGCAAACTTCACCGGCCCACAAAAAGCATCTTCCAGGACAAAACATAGAAAATGCAGACACAATCAAACACACCAAATGGGAGAGAAGGGAAAAGCTGCAGCGACATCCGCTCACAGAATCACACCCAAAGCTTTCGCACCCCGAGGCGACGAGGGTCAAAGACTTCTCTTGCTTCGTGGCCCTGAGCTGCGCAAGCTCCAAAGCTGCATCGGCATCCTGAGCTCCGGGGACCCCGTGGTCGGCTTTTTTCCCACCCGCCCCGAGGGCTTTGGGCTTGGGGCTCCCTGTATTGCAGAGCTAAGCTCGAGTGCCGTGGGAAAGTAGCTCAGAGGTGAGCATCTGTTGACAGTCAGATGGTCTCACGAACCAGAGGCCATCTTGATAGGAAACCGATGACCCGATCAGCCAACAAAACTCACAACAATGCGCCCTAGCGCCTGCATGCGCCTGCCACACTGCGACCAGCTACACGCTTTAATTAACATATTTACATTTAAGTTTTTTGTGCGTATATTTTTGTCAAGAGCTGAAAAAAGGGTTATATATATATACACCATATTGGACTATACAATCTTATATTTCGCTATATAATACAACATAGCCCTATATTTTATGTTTGTCTTCTATGATACATTATTGTATCGTATCGTATTGTACTGTATCATGATAGTTTTAGGTTAACATTCCACGAGATGCCAAGCTGCACAATCCGAAGCTTCCAAAACCTCTTCAGCCTTGGCGACTCGTCAGCTGCAGCACTGGCATTCCCAACCACTATGCTGGCATGCATAAAAATGATTCCTCCTTCATGCTGCACGAAAGCTCCCACTTCTGCTGCCAGTGGTGCTGCTGCCGGCTGCGGCTGCGGCTGCTGCTGCTGCTGCTGCTGCTTGTGCTACCACTTCTACCACGACGACGACGACTACGTACTACCTACTACCTACCACCTACACTACTACTACTTCTACTACTCCTGCTGCTGCTGCCGCTGCTGCTACTAATGCGACTGCTACTGCTATACGACTACTCCTCCTCCTGATACTGCTCCACTAGTACCACGACGACAACGCCGACGACTACTGCTACCTACTACTACATACCATCTAACTGCCAACTACTGCTACTGCTACTGCTACTCCTACTACTACTGCTGCTGCTACTACTACTACTACTACTGCTACTGTTACTGCTACCATTACTAATAATAATAATCATTACTATAGTAATAGCAGTAGTAATAGTAATAGTAATAGTAATAGTAATAGCAAAAGTAATAGTAATTGTAGTAGTAATAGTGATAGTAATAGGAATAGGAATAGGAATAGGAGTAGTAATACTAATACTAATACTGATGATAATAATAATTAATCATCATAGCTGCACTACCACTGATGTGTTTTTACTCTGTAGTTAGTCTCGCTCAAAGGTCCGAGATGCCATGGCTGTTACCAAAGCCATCACCAAAAGCCGGCCGAACATGGTGCTCGACGGCTCAACGCTTTAGGGGGACCAAGAGGACGACTCTCTGAGCCAGCTTGCACACAGTGGCCGAGTGATGTGAGTGACATAAATCCGTGCAGTCAACCGTAGGCGGAGGGCAGATTCCTCTTGTCATCTTTATTGTGGGAGGGACGTGTTCACCAGGGGTATAGTGCTTGCTCTCTTAGCTCATCTTCTCATCTGTTGGTGTGTTTACGTGTTCTTGCATCTGTGTCGCAGTCCTGTCTCAAAGCCCCAAATTTCCAACCAGCTCCGGAGTCGTTTGCGTCTTTGACGCTGGAATCGGTTTCAGCGACTCGATTCGGCGGTGCATCAGAGGCACTTCCGATGAACAGCAGAACAGCCGTGCTCCAGATACCTCGGCTGAATCACAGCATAGCAGTAGCTAAGCCTTGCGGGTGTTCTGCGGCCCAGTAGAACCAGAGAGGGTCCGACTCGAGACAGTCAAAGCAAAGAAAGGGCCACAACTCTGAAACTGAAGAACTGGGCTCGGTCAGTCCAAGCATCTCCTCTCTGGTGGTCAAGAAGCTCTGCAGCTGTGGGTGCCGGCACACCTAGGGCACCCAGCCAGTGTTCGAAGAAGCTAAGACGGCAATGGGTCGTGCCACGAAGCACAGGTATCTGCCCAAACATTAGTGAGGGTCGAACCACAGAAATGAAAGTGTGGTAGCTAATGGAGACGGAAAGACGCCTAAACGACAATGCTCCCTTTTAACCACCGACACTAGCAGTCACTAGCAGGATTCGTGTGAAGAAAAGTTATCCATCACAACACGAATTTGAACAACGGCGACATCACTGGCAACAGCAACAGCAATAACACCCGCGATTGTGGGAGGGTGCTGCTTTGGCATTGGGGATCCAATGCCAATACAAAATCCAGCATGATGTGAACACGTATGACTTATTCGGAAAGGCAGTGGATGAGCAAGGGCACTACGTGGGCTGAATATCAAACCCTGAACCTGAACCAAATTCCACAATCCCCCAACCCATCAAGCAAAAGCACGCACAAACAAGCCAACACAATCAGACAAACAGACTGACTGACAGACTACCCAATCTGGCAATCGGTGTGGAGCATCCACAGCTTTTGCCAATCTAGGCCGAGGACCTTGGCCGCACCTCGCCATGCGGCATCTGGTCCGTCGGCCGTCGCTGACAGCATCCCTCCTCGAGCTTTGAACAGCTTGCAAAGATTTTCTGGGTGGTGCTTGCTGCAAGGGCGAACTTGCGAGCTTCAACAGCCCAACCCTCGAGTCGATGCTGTCTTAAACCTGCCAAATCTACATGCTGGTAAAGGCAAGAAGGTCCTGTCAGGGTGCTGCCACACTTCCAGATGTTGGGAACCACAACCGTGACGCCTAACCCCTATACACTTTGAACTTTGCAGCAGAATCAGTAGCAGCGCTGCGTCGACAGCCAAACACCTCTTTGATTCGGCAGCTTGAGTCAAGTCAGCTTGATCTGCAGCACTGCATGGCAGCGGCTTCAAAGCTTCTCCCGCATCTTTGCCCACCCTCTTCCCCTCCAAAGCGCTCCCGACCCGTTCTGCAGCTGCTGGGCGAGAGCTTCGGAGCTTCGACTGCCGATGAGATGCACGCGCCTGCTGGGGCGTAGAATTTGGGGCTTAGGGCCTTGGGGGGTTTGGGGCTTCATGCTTCAGGCTGAATGCTTTGCAAAGCTGTTTTAAGGGTGTAGCAAGGCTTCCAGGGCTCCGACAAGGGACCAGGCTGCACTCGTCGTGGAATCGAGGAAACGGACCGAGAAGTAAGCGTAAAGCTAGCGTTGGGGGGTAAGATTGATCCGAGGTCAGGGGTCTGCGGTTCGGCTGCTTGGGAGCACAGCTCTCTGACTTTTGGCTTCGGCACTGCAGGCTGCGGTCAACAGCCCCGATCAGCTACAGTCGACGGTAACGTTGGCAACAGCCACTGAGGGTTTGGTGCAGTTCGCACACTCCGAGCTCGCGCAACATGACTTGAAGCATGATTCTTCACCTGATTTCAGCCCCTCGTCGGTGCGACGCCCCTCCGACCTCGAAAAGGGCGCTGCTCCGTAAACGTATTCCTGCACAACGACATTGTCGTCCAGAAAGGGATCTCGCCTGTACGCGCTCAGGCTTCAGGATTTGGAGGTCGTGCAGCTTTCGAAACGTGTTTGTAGCGGTCGGGGAAATGCTGCAAGGGCCTCTACGCTTGAAAAGAATCGATAGTCCGGCTTCGGCAACTGAGGTTGTAGTTAAAAAAACCCGCGCGAATCCCTGATCCCCAATCTGGGCTATCCTTTTGTCTTTACTCCTTGTCGTTTTGCCAAGTATCAAGGGCTATCATCTCGTATGACAAGTACGGGGCACTGGCTTGGCTCGTGGCGGCTTGTGGCAAACTGCAAACCCTCTACAATTACGTAACCCAAGATGTGAATAGGTCGTACAAACAGGTAGCCAACGCCTTCAACTTACTAGCTGGCATCTGTACCGGATGCATTTCCTGCAAAAGGCACCTCTGCGGTTATCGGTTTTGGTATCGGTTTTGCTATCGTTTTGGCCACTCAGCTGGCCTCGGATCTTTGGAGGTTGCATGTAGCAAGTCTCCAGGCTTCAGTTTGCACATAGCAATAGCAGGAGCTTTGGCAAGAGCAGTAGGCACAGCAGCAGCAGCAGCAGCAGCTGTAGACTGTAGCAGGAGCGGTGCTAGTAGCTACAGCAGCAGTAGGAGCAGTACTACTAGTAACTAGTAACAGGAATAGTCTTCTAGCAGTACTAGCAAATGACCCAAGAACGTTAGTAGCATCAGTAATACTCAAATCACCTCATACTAGTAGTAGAATCATAGTAGGACTAGTCATGGAACTCATTTAACATACACTCAAGCGTGATCGTTTCATTGCACTTCTTATCGTTGTACAGGCTAAACCTCACAAGGGGGATCCTAGACTAATCTACAAGAACCCCTGGTTATACAACCTCAATTGTAGAAAGGAGGCCTCTCTAAGATATTAGCTAGGCTTCATGCAGAAAGCTCGGTCCTACCGATGACTTTGTGCGTCAAGATATGCTCCAAGGACATGGTGCGTTTGTGTGTGGGAATTAAATGCGAATCAAGAAAGTGCACTCCCGGGCTTCGATCAACTTGGGGGAAGGTTGGCGAACGTTCTGTGCATGTGCTGCAGGAAAATGCGCTCGCAGCATGCTGACACCGTTCAAGTGTGGAGCGGTGGTTGACCTACGAAACCTGTTCTCAGTCAAAAGGGGTCGGCCAAGTTCTGCAGCACAGTCCTTGTGAATCCTCCCAATGCCTGGCTTCGAATCACCTGTTCACTAGCCGCTAGCCTGCAAGACAAGCAAAGACGGCGTGACTGCCTGCGCAGGCTTCTGGTTGTCTCCACGGGGCAGCGGCGAACTGCTGTCTGTATGGCGCTGGAGATTTGCGGCCAGGCTGGCCCCTTTGCGGATCGAAATCGAAAAGGGGCAGATGTGTCAAACCGGGCGCAGGAGAACGCACACTTGAACGTGGATCGCTGGATGAGAAGAACCAAAATCCTCATGCACAGCTCGGACTTAAGTGCGTTTGCTGGCTGGCTTCCCTTCATGTCACGCGCTCAACCATGATGCTACCGCACATGCTCGACGGCCTCAGGATCCAAGTCTTCATGTGAGACGATCGCCGGCACGAGGAGGTAGCCCTGCGTGGTGTGGGCAGGTGACCACTCATACCGGGGATGACAGCAAGCAACATAACTATCGGTGCCTCACAGAGGGGTGTCACAGAGAGGTGCGCAGTGCCGACATCAACAACGATCATGCTGTCAATGCTTGCCGTGTTTGACTGCGAACAGAAGTGGATCTGACATGCAGCCACCGCCGAAGGAACAAATGCAAGCGATGGAACACCTCGGTGATGTATGTGGCTATTCAAAACCACTCCGACCCGTCAGGCTGGTTCACGCTGTGAGCTCTACAACCCGATGACAGCAGCAGCCGCCCGCAAGAGCGCATCCGGGCTCACGATCGCCGGAGCCCAAGCGGCACTTCTCGATGTATCCATATAAAGAATATAGGTTCGCTTGTGCAAACTATGGATGGTTACCTCACATTAATTGGCCAGGTGAAGCAACTCAGGTGGAGGCCAGCGCGAACCAAGTCTTTGCAAACCTGCTCTCGCCAGGCTCGCTTGGCGTGCATCGGCTCGACCAGCACCACTGGCTGGTCTTCTGGGCGAAGCTGAAGGTCGGCCTAAAACCACCAAACACACACGCGACATTGAGATGAAACTGCTTTTAATTCGAGTTTTGACGGCCGAGGTGAAGTGACCGCAAACGCAGCTGCGGTGCAAAAACTGGCAACCAGTCGCCGGAAGCTGACCCCGGAAGAGGAAGCTGTCGAAACTCTTTGCAGCCTGTCATGTAGACTCGGGCAACTCGATAATTGGACAACAGTCTCCTTTGTGGGATATCGCATTCCAAGGGAGAAAGCACCCGTGGAGGTAGCCGAGACTGCACTGCTCCAAGGAGCACCTTTTGCTTGCCCAGAGGGATGAAGCAGGCAGCAACGCCAGAGTGATAACCTGCTCAAGTCGCCTGGTTCGCTGTCGTTCACATCGATGAGCCCCACGAAAGCAGGGGAGGTGCCTCGGTGGAGAGCATCTAACCGCCCTTCGCAGCAGCGTCGGTGCAGAAACTGTCCTATCATCCAGAATTTGTCGCCCAGCGCTTGCCAGAGCTAGCAAGCACCGACAGCCACCGAAGCCTGCAAGCCGAGTCACAAGCATCGATTACGAGCACTTTCCGCGGAGCTTCTGTGGGGCGCGGAACCTGGGACCACACAAACGGCTCGATGCAGCACGGCGCCCACACGTTGAAACAGGCTGTGACCAAGCTGCACGCTCAGGCGATAGCAAAACTGGAGCTCATGTCGGGTACGGATTAACAGATAAGATCTCGAGCCTGGTGGTCAGGAGACAGCAAATCGACCCAGCCCTGTGCGGTGTCCTGCTGAGGGCCACCCCAAAGCCACCAGGGAGAACATAAGCGAATTGGACTAGCGCAATGCGCATTTGCAATGACGGCTGCTTCAAAATCGAACCCGGGATCTCATGCTGGCCCGTCCTGGCCCTCACCGCCACAAGCAGCAGCGTAGTCACGGCTTGCAAGGAAAGCACCTGAAGTCCAACAGAAGATCGGCCGGAAGTCCGTGAGTATGTATGTATGTATGTATG